TATCTAGAGGAATGGGCAGTTCTTGATCTTCATTGCTGTCCCTCAAGATTGCATACATAGATGTATGGTAAAATTCATTTTCCCTCCTTTCAGTAGCTAACTTACCTGTTCTGTTCTATTATTTACACATTAGCATAGAAAATATATCATTTGCAAGCCTTACCTCAGAGTGGCAACCAGCCACCCCACTTTTACTAGATAACATATTTTTCTACTTAATATTCCCCCAAAATACACCAAATTTCTTTTTTTAAGCTAATGAACTCACATTCATCTGTTTTCTACATCTTTTAAAAATTCTCATTGGATAAAGCTCAAAATATTTTATATTTTCCAATAGTGCCCCAAGACATTTTTTTTAAGGAAGCCCCTTGATTATTCTAACTTACTTGCAGTGTCATAGAAACAGAATTATATGTCCAAGTGACATTTCCCATTCAGAACATCTGCTATGCTTCTCAGTAAGGAACTCTTGTGACCAGATATGCATGTATTTATTGACCGTGTTGCTCTCCTCCTCCATGTAGAGAGGATCACAAGCCCTGCTGATAAAACTACCATGTGTCATTACTACAAAGTCATTAGGTTGCATGAAGTTTCTGGAAATCCCAAGTGATATAAATGTTTACAAGGAGCAAAAAAAATGTTTTACATCTTTAAATAAGCTTTTTGACTGCCAGGCAGCATTTTATGCCATTGTGACTGGAACCTAATGACTAATGTGAAATGATGTTGACATGTCATTTCAAAGGTCAGTGGAAATGTAACTTGGAAAGTTTAATATGGTATAAACACAACACGGTTTCTGAGAGTAGCGCATCTGAATTAGGGTGGCTTGCTTGAAAAATTCTCTTAGCTGTCCATCATGCCTGAGTAGTTATTTCACTCCTTGATCGAGGGAGGCCTGGCCAAGGTCTCTGCATGGTGATTCTGGGGATTTGGGAAAGCAGGGTTCATTAGGCTCAAGAATGAGATGATTATCCTGCCAGCAATGGAACACCTCTTTGGCTACCACCTCACCTAAACCTTGATTCAATCCAAAAATTATTCTAACTCACTGCAGTGTCGTGGAAAATCCAAAAATCAGCTAACCTTTCCCAATCGGGCTCCTGCTATTTTCATTCACAGCACCCTGTACTGAACAGCTGGGGCTTTCCGAAGCAGGTGCTACCTACACCAGTACACAGAAAGAAATTCACAGCTTCCGTTGCCTCTCCGATTCCGTTATGCTAAATTCAGCAAATAGATTAGAAAATGTGAATTGTTTGATTCCTTGTGATTTCAAAACCCCGCTAGTCAATTTGCCAAATTGTCTAGACACCCTCCCACCAAACATGACTTAGCTCGTCCCTATCGGATTGGTATCAGTTCTCTCCCTCTTTGTCAGCAGGCAGAACTCCTTCCATTGCAAAGAAATGTAAATCACAATATTATAATGTTCTTTTGCTCTTTTGACATAAAAGCATTTGCTTTCTTATGTACACAGATACTTTTGTATATCTACCAGGCCCCAACTAAAGCTAAATGGCAAGAATGAGTATTTCTGGAATCCTATGGAAATTTTGACAACATGAGACAGGTTTAACAGATGTCAAGAAAAGAAGGGTAGGCTCCTTTTATAATTCAAGTTTCTATTTTGTATTCCTCTATGAGCATTTTCTGACCGAAACTGCGGCTCTGCCTAGTGAAACTTGTATGATTTGCTTTTTAACTTTGGAAGCCAACGTTCCTAAAGTGTGCTTGATTGTCTCCTTTCTGTTAAGGATTTGATTAAAATATTCTAGCTGTTTCGGTCATCCCTTGTTGTGTGCTTAACATATGTGACGTTATGCCTCTGCTATCTCAAAAACTATCTGTGGACAAGATCCACAAAGCCTGTGGACTGTGATCTCTACACATGGAAGAAGAAACTGATTTTTCCTCCAAGCAGTGAATCAATGAATAAGAAACTGTTCAGCATCCTCTGATTCCTGCCCCCTTTACCCTCCATGGCCTTCTTTTCTATTCGTAATCATTCATTGAGTAATTGTGTATTCCTGTACAATGCAAAACCAACTTACATGCAATCAGGTAAGGACACAAGACACACTTGTGCCCTCAATTTCAGGACTCACAGATACCCTAGCAGTCACAGGACTGTAGTTCACTCAGTAGTTGTGTTAACGATGTGGCTTCGCTATAAGCTAAGTTGCTGTTTTCTTTACTTTGGACTCACTCTAAGATTTTAAACGTTGCAGTGAATTAAAGAAAACACATGTGAAGGCCGATGTGAAAAACCATCAGCTATTCCTCCGAAAGCCGTTGTGCAGCTTCTGGAGTGTAGTTTATTGCTGTAAATATGTACTATTTATGTTCGCTTGTTTATTCCTAAAACAAATAAAACATTTTTTAGTCAAAATGCCTACCTGTAAAAAATTTACTTTGTGCCATTTTAAAAACATGCATAACTTCAGATATATTTGTGTAATATTTACAGTGTTCAAAATTCTGAATCTATCATTGTAGAGCTTTTATGGTAAAATTTAATACAAAGCAAAACCCTTATATTTGGAAGAAATTCTTTGCAGTATTATCCAACAACTGGAGGGGGGGGGGGGACACCAACACTTTTCCCTCAATTTCAGGACTTCTGTACCACTTGGACTTAAAAAGAGAACTATATGATAAAAGGGTAATATGCAAATTGACCCTAATGGCTAAACAACTATAACACTCTCTGACCACCAGGGGGCAGACACTAAATGAAGGAGCTGCCCCCTGGTAGTCACTGCACTTCCACAGGGGGAGCATTGCTCAGCCAGAAGCTGCTGGCTCATGGCTGGCCAGCTCGGCAGCAGTGGCAGGAGCCTCTCCCGCTTCCATGGCAGCACTAAGAATGTCCAACTAATGGCTTAGGCCTGCCCCCTGAGGGCTCCTGGACTATAAGAGGGATGTCCGACTGCCAGCTTAGGCCCAATCCCCAGGGGAGTGGGCCTAAGCTGGCAGGTGGACGTCCCCTGAGGGCTCGTGGACTGCGAGGGGGATGTCTGACTGCCAGCGGGCCCAAGCCAGCAGGTGGACATTCCCTAAGGGGTTCCGGGCTACCACTCAGTGTGTGTGTGTGTGTGTGTGTGTGTGTGTGTGTGTGTGTGTGTAAGCCCAGTGCATGAATTTGTTCATGGGTGGAGTCTGGCCAGCTTGGCCAGGGGGAGGAGACATGGGCGGTTGGCCAGTCTGCCTGCTGATGGAACTAGTCTAAGGGACAATTTGCATATTAGCCTTTTATTATACAGGATATACACCGAGTGACCAGATTGTGTTCAGAGATCATAATAATCTGGCCACTCAGTGTATATACTAGAGGCCTGGTATATGAAAATTTGTGCACTCAGGGTAGAGGGGTCCCTCTGCCTCGCCTGTACCCTCTCGCAGTCCCGGAGCCCTAGGGGAAGTCCACCTGCTGGCTTAGGCCTGCTCCTCCGCAGTCGGACATCCCACTGAGGGGTTCTTAGCACTGCCTTGGAGGCGGGAGAGGATCCTACCACTGCTGCTGTGCTTGCCAGCCGTGAGCCTGAGCCCAGCTCAGGTTTATCAGTGTATCAGTCAGATTTCAATAAAGCATTTCGATATGCTAATGTAGTGGTAATGTGGTACTAAGCAGACCAAGATTTGTTTCCTTCTCAGAGAGGAAGTGCTGTATGCAGAGTAGAAATACAAGGACCTTCAATAATGACACGAGGAACTTGCACAAGATCAATCAACTACCTCCCTAAGCACAATTTAGTTCAGCTGATATATATTTTTTCATAACCAAGATTTCCCAGTGAAGAAAAGCATATTGATGAGCATTCTGGCACCAGCTTGTCTATAATCTTTATGCTATATAATAAAAGCATAATATGCAAATTGTCCCCTCACTCGGGAGTTTGGCGAGGGGGATGGGGCCAGCCAGGATAAGGGAGGGAGGCACTGGCTGGTCCCAGAAAAAAAAGGGACCCAACCAGTGCAAGAATTTTGTGTACAGGGTCTCTAGTCTACTAGTGTGTGTATATACTCTCAATATATATAAAAGCCTAAGTGACCAGCTGACCAGACAGTAGCTATGACGCACACTGACCACCAGGGGGCAGACGCTCAACACTGGAGCTGCCGAGCTGCGGTCACTGGCAGTGGCAGTTCTCACGTGACGCACCTGAAATCAGAGAGGAGGGAGCCTGATTCCAGGCTATGTCACCCAAGAATCGCCCCCTCACAATCCAAGACCCCTTGGGGGATGCCAGAGAGCGGGTTTCAGCTTGATCCCCACAGGCCTGGCAAGGGACCCCACCGGTGCACTAATCCCTGCACTGGGCTTCTATTAATAGTTAACTTATAAATAAATCAGAGCGGCAGAAGTCTAAGGTACATTTTGAGAGCATCTAGATTACACTCTGATATGTTTTAACCTAAGTCTATCCTCATCTATATGTAATTGAGTAGTAATAATTGCTCTGGACACCTCAGATAATAGCCTGATGCTCTGATGAGCTATAAAGCTTACAAACAGCAGGTACCAATTAATTATGTATTATTGCATTATGTAGAAAGTAATTTGAAATAAAATTGTTTTTATTTGTTCAGAATGCTTATCTTTAAACTTAACTGAAATTAAAAATGATCTGTTTACCAACAAAGTTAACATCCAAAACTGTTAAATTCAATATTAAGTTTATAAAAAATGGACATAATTTTAGCTATTTGAACAGTAATATATAAACTATACAATGACATATTCTTTTTATCAGCTCATGCCCTTCCAGCCAGCCATAGAAATACCAGAATAGCAGTGTTATTGCACTCTTCCTGTTCTAGTATGATTTAATTTATAGGATTCATAAACTCAAAATTGTCCACAGTATTTTCTAATTCATCTGAAGAGCTTCTTTCTCTAAGAATTTTTTCATTTTATAATCTTTCCTTTGAAATGAGTAAGATATGCAATTTCCTTAGTTATATATAACTTATACTTTAAAAGTTATTTCTAAAATATCACAAATTAGTCATATATATATACATACTGTATATATCCATAATACACATATTTGCTATTCACATACTACTTTTAGCAAACAGTTATTTGTGCTTTGTATGTTAACATTAGTTTAGAGCCTATGTTTAGTTTTCAGTAAACCTCAGTATCTATAAAGATCTGTCAAATATTTAATAAATGAGGCAGGACAGTCATTATGAAAATATAAACTGCTACTATAGCTTTTTATCTTTAATTTTTTAATGCATTTCCTGTCAACCACATAATTTCCTGTTCTTTAGGGAACTTGATAAATTTTTATCTTTGTCATCTCAACACGGCTGCTTTCTCAGCGTAGCATAGTAGCATATTGCAGATTTTCTGAGCACACAGCATTCGCTGTCTTATCAGCTGTAACAGTGGAATCTGATGATGCTGGGATTCATCATTTCCAGTTATTTGAACTGCAGGATGACCTTAAAAACAAAGGGGAAAGGCATAGTCAGTTTACACCAGAACGATGCCAACGTCCGCTGTACGAGATGCTTTGCAGTCTGTGAAGTGGCTCAAGAACTGAAAACAAATATACTGCTGAGTAACTGATGACACAGGCCTGCCAGATCCATGGCTCAGAATCATTTCACGTTTATACCAGGCTCTACCACACCCCCATCAGACCTTTAGCCCCATTCAAAGGCAAGCCAGTACCAGTTTGGTGACTGGGCAGGTGGACCATTCATCAAGGCACTAAAATAGCTGAAAAACTGCAGAGTATGAAGGGAAGCTGAAGTATACGAGGGTTTAAAAAAACACAGACACAACAAGATTGGTTTGTGGCAAGAGATTGGTAAGAAAACTAACTTTAATCACTGAGATTGATCACTTGAGAAAATGCTGAGCAAAAATGAAGGGAACATATAATACATAACAAAGATAATTATTTTTATTTCTTCCTCAAGGCAGCAGTTTCTATGATTTAAATATTCTTTTTCTCATTAATTGAACACTGAGAATGGTTACTGTTATTTAGCCCTTTGTAAATGTAAAGCTTTTAGTCATTGTCTTTTATTATTTCTATCTTTTTATTTTTAATATATTTTATTGATTTTTTTTTTTTTTTTTTTTTTTTTTTTTTTTTTTTTGCAGAGAGGAAGGAAGAAGGATAGAGAGTTAGAAACATTGATCAGCTGCCTCCTGCACATCCCCTACTGGGGATGTGCCCGCAACCAAGGTACATGCTGACCAGAACTGAACTTGGGACTTTTCAGTCTGCAGGCCGACGCTCTATTCACTGAGCCAAACTAGTTTTGGCTCATTAGTTCTATCTTGTCTCAACCTGATTTTGTCAAAACTATAAGGAATATTTTTGTCTCCTGTAGTTAAAACAATTTTCTACTATTTGTCCAGTTAAATAAGACACTCTTTTTTTCAAGATCACACTATTTTAAATCATAAAAACTCTTCAGAATTAACTAATATCATATACCCAAGGTAAAAAAAAAGATGATTTTTATCATTAATGTGCAATGGAGCAAAATAAATCTAGCTGTTAGAACAGCACTATTATTCTTTCAAAAATAACTACTTGATCAATTATGCTCCAAAGTAATTAAAATTACAAGTTATAATTAAGTTAATGTCTAAATCTAAAGATACATAACAACGTATTTTCTGTGCTTGACATAAAATATCAGGAAGGAAAGAAATATTAACAGCAAACTATGAGTTTTTTCTTACATGGCTCTATAGTTGTCTATCAAAACTTAAACATTTTAAACCACAAAACAAAATTAAAACAATCACCTTATTAGCTGCTTCCAAGGAATTTATTAGGTTCTTTAGCTCTTCTTGACTCATTTCGATGGAATATGGTTTGACTTCACCATTTTCTTTTACGTCTAGATGAAGGTTTAAAAGTGGCATTTGTAATGTTGCAATTTTGTCACTGGAAAGTGCAAGCTGGTTAAAATGAGGAAAACAGTAATTAATAGATATTAAACAGGCCTATATTAAATATGCATCAGAGCTTATGAACAACACACTTTATAAAAAATAAAAAATAAAGTACTCCTATTCACTGTCAGGTACAGGGAAAGGTGGAACAAGTAGCATCCAATAGATCTAAAATACAAAAACTGTTCTTTATGACTCTCCTTGAAAAGTGTTTTTAAATGCTGTTTTAATAACACATTACAGATTTTCCTTGGAGATAGAAACACCTTGACCAATTTTGGGAAGACTATAATGTCTAGAAAATTCCAGGCTGAAACATGTTAAATATATACATACTAGAGGCCTGGTGCACGAAAATTCGTGCACTGGGGAGGAGGGGGTGTCCCTCAGCCCAGCCTGCCCCATCTCACAGTCCGGGAGCCCTCAGGGGATGTCGTTCTGACCTCCCTCTATGGGAGGTAACTTGGCTGATCAGGGGAAGGCACCGCCCCCATCACTCTGCTGCTGCTGCCACTGCCGGCTGCGGCAGCCACCAAGGTGTTTTCATCAACAGGGACTCCAGTCCATTCACTAAGAAAAAATGACAACTTTCTTTAGGCATTTTCAAGATGTGTCTTTCATAGGATATGCATTTCTTTCTTTTTTTCATCCTCACCTGAGGACATGTTTCCATTGATTTTTAAAGAATGTGAAAGAGAAAGGGAAAGACAGAGAGAAACATCAAAGTGAGAGGAACACTTTGATTGGTTGCCTCCTACATGAGCCCTGATCTGGGCCCTGGCCAGGGAGGAGTCTGGAACCTAGGTACATGCCCTTGATCAGAATCGAACCCAAACCCTGCTGTTGGCAGGCTGAGGCATTCTCTACTGAGTCGAACCGGGTAGGGCAGGATATGACATTTCTTAGCCCGCCAGCAGCAGACCTTCGTTTTTTCCTCCAGGAGTGTGGTGGAAAAACCCTAGATGACCTTCTTAGATTCTTACTACCCAAATTACCAAGAGCATTGCGAGTGGTGTACCCAGAGCTTAGCCAATGAGCGGCCAGAAAAGGTGCCAGCTGCCATGGCTGCATGGAGACACAGAGAGAAGAGGGCCTGCTAGCTGCAGGCTGCAAAATCTGTGGCTTGCCTCATCATGCACGCAGTCCCACCTGAGCGTGCAACCTCCTCCTCCTTGTGATGTTACAGCGTCTTGGACAATTTGCATATTACCTCTTTATAGATAAATAGATAAAGACAGATCGATCGATCCACTATTTGAAACATATAATGATTTACAGCTCCAGTTAATGAAATTTATCATTGTAAAGTTATTACACCTGGTTCGGATACTTATAATATATTGATGTCCAGTTAATACAAAAGATATCATTTTAATTGTCTTTGATATCTTTATGGGACACTGCATTCTCAAAATGAAATTTTAGATGTGTGCTATAAAAAAATAAACATTTCTTCCTATTCAAAAACTGAAATAAAAACATACTCCTAAATAAATAGATTCACACCTTTAACTGCCAATCAAAATCCTGTAGCTGTGCAGAGGAAATATCAACTATTTCGTTTAACAGAGTCTGCTTAATTTCATCTTTTCTACTTTTCAAGCATTTCATGATAGCTTCTTGATGAGATGAATTCAACTGATTCAATTGCTGAGATATCTATGAACATAAAAAGAAATGGTTATAAGTGAAAGGACCTTTCTATTTAAAATGTAAACACATAGTTCCACTCTCCTTTCACATACCATTTAAAATAGTAGTAAATATACTTCTGTCACTTTAAAAAAATAAGATGAGAATACATAACCAGCAAACTAGGTTTTAACAAATTTTTGCAATACAGAAAGTAAAAGTGCTGACTGATGAAGAGCATGAACGTGATTATATCTGGAGACCACCAAAAAAAGCTGGTATAATTGTATTAATATTAATATATCAGAAATGTTAACAACTGTTTAACTGTGGTAATGGGAATGTAGGTGTTAGTTACTTAACTTTCAGTTTTCTTCTGAAACATTTAAATGTTTCGCAACTTAAAAAATATAAACAAACAAAATAAAACTACAAAACCCAGAACTTCTACAATGAGATTTCCTATTTACAATAAGGTTTTTCCTGTTAGCTACTTACCAATGATGGCCCTTATAATATATAGTGTCCTAAAGACCAACTTAAAAAAAATCTGAACACTATTTATTATTTATTATAATATATAGGAATTTAGACTACAGTTACCTCTTCATCAGATAATTTTTTGCCCACTACAACTTTGAAAAATTTGGTAATATCTTCCAGAACATGCATCCATTCTGTGGAATCCCAAACACTTTGATAATCCTGGTAGAGAGGATAAGTACGGCCACAAATGCCATCAATTATTTTGTGAAGAAGCTAGAGTAAAAACAAAATAAATGTAATTATGAATAAAGTTATAAACATATTTCCCTTACAGCAAGCATGAACTTCTCTCGTTGAAAGAAGTTCATATCATCTGCAAGAGCAGCTGAGGTTGAAATGTAACTATTTATTTACTTTTCTTAATCTTCACAGAAAATATCTTTTCCATTAATTTTTAGAGAGCGCGAAAGGGAGGTAGGAAGGGGGCAGAGAGAAAGAAAGACAAAGAGAGAGAGAGAAAAATATCTACATGAGAGACGCATTGGTTAGTTGCTTCCTACATGCACCCCAACGGTTTTGTGCCCTTGACGGGGAATCAAACCTGCAACCTTCAGGTGTGAGGGCCGACACTCTAACCTCTGAGTCACACCAGCCAGGGTGAAGTGTACAAGTAACTACTTTTAACATTATTTTATTAATGAAAAGTTAGAACGTCACACACACACACACACACACACACACACACACACACACACACACGTACCATTTTGTCCATGTTCAGAAGCTAAAAAGTTACACTAGTGTTTTTCCAATGTTTCTGAAAGGAAGATGGTGAGTATAAAGGATTCATCTTGGGATTCCTTAGACATTGTATGTATACCAATTACAAGTGTAACTCTTAGAGCAAAGTCTTTTACTGTAGACCTACTACATTTTCTCCTTACCTCCATTTTTCACCACATTCACACTTACTTCTTTGAGTCCATCCAAGAAAGTCCTCAGTGCTTTTCTCTTCCTTTTTTACATTCCTTTTTCTCTATCCTACCTTAATATCAGCAATGGGAATCCTAACACATACATAGCTGAACACAGTAATTAAGACTGCAAATTTTGGAATGAAACTGGCTTGTCTGAATATTAGTTGTACTACTTAACTAGGTTTGTCAAATTATTGAAACATTCTGTGCTTCTGTTTCTCATGTATAAAATAGGACAATATCCATACCCTCGTAATGTTGTAAGGATTTAAAAAGAATACATGCAAATCTCTTGCCACATTGCTAGCTTATACAAGGCACTTAAACATTGCTAGCCATCATCATCATCACCGTCGTCATCGTCGTCATTGTTACTACTACTACTATGTTCCATATGAACTGAGTACCTACTATGCCTGCACTATTCTAGGCAAATGATTAACATGGTATTCTTCCTCAGGGGCTATTTATGTCTTACAAAAAGAGTATTTCAAGCCAAACAGTTTGGAAATGCATTTTAGCAGCCAGTCTTTCACCTCTTTCCCCCTGGATTATATCGACTCCATTTTAAGGAATAACTTCTCTATAACACCACACATATCAGAACAGAGATGAGCTCCTGGTGACCCCACTTCCAAAGGGTGGTGAATGCACCATATGAATTTCTTCATTTGTAAAATCAAAGGAAAGGGTTAAGAATATGTTGTTGTTATTGTTTATCCTGCCAGGAATTAAGTTCATCCCTTCTATTCAAACTCCGCCCCCACCACCGCCACCCTTTCCCCACTATAAAATGGAACAGAGATAAAAGGCAGGCCAAACTTTGGAACTTATAGAAGGTACTTACCACACACCCCTCTATCACTTTATGTAGGCTAAACACCCATGCCCACCCTTCCCCCATACTGAATGGAACAGAGTAGGGAACTTACACAAAGCTGCCCATCATTGGTATCCAGATGACTGTTGCAATGATAAAGTGTGTTTAATGTACATTAACTGATTACTTTCCTCAACAAACATCAATTTAAGAACCACCTTAGGCCAGACACAATTCTCAAGAATTGGAGATATATAGCCGAAACTGGTTTGGCTCAGCAGTAGAGCGTCGGTTTTGCGGACTGAAAGGTCCCAGGTTCGATTCCGGTCAAGGGCATGTATGTTGGTTGTGGGCACATCCCCGGTAGGGGGTGTGCAAGAGGCAGCTGGTCGATGTTTCTCTCTCATTGACGTTTCTAGCTCTCTATCTCTCTCCCTTCCTCTCTGTAAAAAGTCATTAAAATATATTTTTTTAAAAAGAAAAAAAGAATTGGAGATATAAAACAAGTGTCTACTATGAAGGAGTTGAGAGTAGGAGAGAGACCAGTGGCAAGAGGATCAATTAAGAAGATGTGTTCAAGGAAGACCTCACCAGGCCTGAACTGCTGGGGAACGGAGATGGTGGAAGTACACGTAGTAACATACTAATTGTAGTACCAACTGTCAGTCACAGTCTGAGGTCAGCAGGCAGAGAACCTCAGCTCCCAAAGCTAATGCTGAAGCTCCAGGTCACATATACTGCTTTCTCTGATGGCCAGCAAATTTCCTTCAGGTCTAAGACTTGGGGCGCTAAGTTTTTTGCTTGAAAGTTCAAGGGGCGGGAGGGAAGCCCCACTTCTCAGTTAGATATTCCTGGTATAGCAACCACTGGGCTTTCTTCCTTTCACAGTTCACAGTCAAAATGCCGTTATACGTACTTACTGCCTCCACATTTCTCTCATCTTTCAAACTCACTCAAGTTTTGCTGCTGCCCAAAGCAATACTTCAAAATGTCAGTGCCTTGCCAAAAGCGGTTTGGCTCAGTGGATATAGCATCAGCCTGCGGACTGAAAGGTCCCAAAGGTCCCAGGTTCGATTCTAGTCAAGGGCATGTACCTGGCACATCCCCGGGAGGGGTGGGGGGGTGGGGGTGTGCAGGAGGCAGCTGGTCGATGTTTCTCCCTCATCGATGTTTCTAACTCTCTATCCCTCTCCCTTCCTCTCTGTAAAAAAGCAATAAACTATATATATATTTTTTTTAAATGCCAGTGCCTTTCGTAGTAAGGCTAAACACAGGAGCATGGCATCGTCAGACTCCAGCCACCTGACTCCTGCTCACCTGCCTTCGCTACCCACCTCTGCTTCTCACTCTGCATTCCAGCCTTTAAGAATTATAGCAAGTCCTCGAAGCCCCCTGGGCGGTGGCGGTGGTGGTGGGGACTTCTTCTAGCCTTTGTAGCCTGTTCCTGTCTGAAACATTCTCTCCCCTCTTGCTTCTCTGGTTCCTACCCATCCTTCGGGACTAAACCTAGAAATAAATCTAGATGCTCCTGCTCTGAAAATCTTCCCTTGTCCCTTCAAATCTGGGTTGCGGGGTTCAAACCCTTCAAACTCATGACTGCAGGTTTCCTTCCTGGACAGCAAGCTCCCCCAGGGCACAGACTGGGTCCCAGTCACCATTCCTCCTTACCCCCGGGGCACTGGGTGTCAGGAGCAGCGGGATGAACAACTGAATGAGGCTTTCTGCTCAGGCTGGAGCTGCCAGCCTGCATGTCCTCTGGACGGAGTCTAGGGAAAGGCCGCCCTGGAACTCACTACCTCCTGCAGTCGCCCCGTTACTGGCAGATTCCACTTGCCAATGTCTTTCCTGCTCCCTCAAGGGGCCCAGGTATGCTTGTCAGGTCACCACGGTAACCCGGGCACTAGGCACTGTGCCTAGAGCAGAGGCAGCGTCCGGGAGGTATATGTTGAATGAATGAATGAATGAATGAATGAATGAATGAGTGAGTGAATGAAACTTAAGTGAGAAGTTGCAAACCACCGGTCCAGAAGGTAAGCTCTCACAGACTACGTGGCAGTTCCACGCTCCCCTCCCCCCGGGGTCACTGGGTCCCGGGGCTGCCCAGGAAGCAACTGACCTCCCCAGGGAGCAATGGGCCACCCCAGGGAGCAATGGGCCTCCCCCACCAGGTGAGGGTGCGGCCGGCCCGGCAAAGTCTGCGCACAAATCCCCCTGAGGGGCAACTCCCGGCCACGGCGAGGGGGTGGCGCCCCAAGTCTCGGCCTCCACAGCTCACCCGGAGGCACAGGGGGCCGGACACCCGAAATCCCGCCCCCACCGCTCCCTTCCCGGGGCCGCGCGCCCAGCCCGCCCGCCAGGCGGTCCCGCAGCCCCGGCCCCCGCCGCAGCCGCCCGCGCCCCCCTCACCTGCGGACCCCGCTCAGCTGGGAGCTTCTGCAGCCGCCACAGCGGCGCCCCCTCTTCCGACTCCATCCCAGGGCGAGCTGGGGTGCGGGTCACGTGACGAGGCCCGGCCGCTCCGCCCCCACGTGACTCCGGTGGGCGGGGCCGGGCGGGGCTGGAGCACTCTGTTGCGCGTGCGCAGAACTGCAGCCCAGCCTTTAATGCTTGCTGCTGCATGGCTGAAGCACCGCTGTAGGGTTACTTTGAAGGCAAGTTTGCAAACTTCTCAAAGTTCTCAACTTCATTGAGAGTTTTACTGAGCTTTTTCTGCACTCTTTAAAAAGCCATCTACTAAGAGTAACCATATTTGGATTGTACTCGGGCCATTTGTCCTAGAGGTTTGATATGTATTTCCTACCAAAGTATCCTGATTTGGAAGGTGAATTTAAGGGTTTGATGTGGACAAGATTATCCCACTTCCTAGTAACAGATAAGGGAGAAGTCACTATGGTTGTCATTTTTTTAAAAAAATTATTTATTGACTTGAGAGAGCAAGCAAGCTTTGTTGTTCCACTTACTTATGTATTCATTGGTTGCTTCTTGTATGTGCCCTGATTGGGGATAGAACCTGCAACCTCGGCTTATGGGACCATACTCTAACCAACTGAGCTACAGGGCCAGAGCTCACGAGAGATGTCATATTTAGCAAGTAAAATGCACAGGTGCCCAGTTAAATAAGAAATTTCAGATAAACAACGGATAACATTTTGTTATAAGTGTGCCATAATGATTGCATGGGGCACACTTAAGCCAAAACCCGGATAAGCAACAACTTATATTTTAACTTCTTAAAATATTATAACAAGATAATATTTTGTTACACGGATGCCATAATGACTGCATGGGGCACACACACAGATCAAAAATGTATTGTTGTTCATCTCAAATACAAATTTAACTGGGTGTCCTGTTTTTATCTTTCAATCCTAGATGTCACGTGCCTGAGCCAAGAGGCACAGCCTGAAGTTAAAATCAATCAGGTTCTAGAGCCACACTCAACGTCGGGCTGAACCTAAAACCCAAACAGCTTTTCTGTAGTTTCATTTGTTCTTGCAGTTATTCCTTTAATTGGGTGCTGGAGAATTCAGTGGTGATAAGACAGTCCCTGCCATCCAAAATGCACAATAAGGAGGAGACAGAAACAGGAATCACAATGTAATGTATATTTAATGTTTAAAAAGCAGTGCAAAGTAATGAAGCAAGCCATAGAGGAGAAAGTAATTATTCTAGACTGTTGGCTATGCAGAGAAAAATTACTCACTATTGGCATGCTTTAAGGCACATGTGTCAAACACAAGGCCCGCGGGCCAAATCCGTCCCGCCAGGCCTTGCAATGTGGCCCACACCGCGCTGTCATCACTGCACTCCGCTGCGTTTCCATCACAATGACAGTTTATGACTGTTCAGTAAACCATTCGGCCCGCGATTTAGGCTGGATTTTAGATTTTGGCCCCTTCTCTGATTGAGTTCGACACCCCTACTTTAAGGTGTAGCTCGAATGCCCTTTCTCTACTCTGTGCCCCAACTCTTGGAAGTGAAAGCAATCTCTCCCTCTTCTGAATTTTCATGATGGTCTCTCACTTAAAATATTTCTAGTTCTTAATATAGGTAAGTATGTACAACTCTTGTTCCAACTGAAACATATAATAATTGCCTTAAGATGTTTTACGTTTGTGCAGAGGGGCTCCCCAAGTAATATTTAGTAAATGAGGAAGAATCTGGAAAACTATCTAATTTATATCTGTTAATAAGTCTACAGAAGGCAAGGTCTATTTCCTAAGACAAAACTAAGTTTTATATATTGTAATAATTGCAATAATAATGTTTATCAAGAAGTTACTATATGCTGCCTTGGCCAGTGTGATTCAGTTGGTTGGAGCATCATCCCATACACTGACAAGTCACCAGATTCCAGTCAGGGCACATGCCCAAGTTGTGGGTTCCATCCCCAATCAGGTGTGTATGGGAGGCAACCAATCAATGTCTCTCTCTCTCTCTCTCTCTCTCTCTCTCTCTCTCTCTCTCTCTTCTTCCCTTCCTCCCACTGTCCCTCCCTCTGTCTCTTTGAAATTAAAAAAAAAAATCTGCTATTTCCAAGCAATTTATATATTTTATCTTATTAATCCTCTCTACAGCCTTGTGTCATGGTTATTATCCCAACTTTAAAGATGAGGAAACAAGGTCACAGAGACAGCAGTTGCAAAGTCACTGGTCTGAGTCTGGAACTGGTGGCCTCAGTCTTTGTGTTTCGTGTCCCTAATGAAGGAAAGGCATTTGGAGGTGATGTGACTACTTAACACCATACAACAGATTACTCAAAGCAAATAGGCACAGCAAGCAGGGCACAAGAGTTAGTCAGAAGACAAAGCATTAGGTCCTGGCTTCTCTTTCAGACAACAACACTGGGTACCAATAATTTTTCTTTGGCATTCAACTTTTAACAAATATAGCTTAAACAGCTCACAAAGTGAGAGAGGAAGAGAGCTTATTATTTGCGCTTTGATGTCCTTATGTGTGTAATCCAAGAGGTTTTCAAAACATATTTCTGGCTCTTCTTGTCCTATGTGTGCAAGTGTTCTAGTCCACATCTTCCAAATTTTACTTGTAATGATGGTTAAAAACATGGAGCTAACCTAAAGTTCAAACCCCCGCTTGGCAAATTACTACCCAGGCGAGCTGGGTCACCTCTCTGTGTCTCTGGCTCCTCATCTGTAACTGAGTATAATGTCAGCATAGAACTTACAGAGTCGTTTTCAGTTCATATGTGTAAAGTTCTTGAAATGAGTCTGACCTGGCACATAGAAAACATTATCAGATTCCCTTCTAAGTGGCCATATTCCTATTTTCCGGCCAAAAATCAGTGGGTTCCAGAAAGCAGGGTGTTAGACAGTCTCAGCTCACAGGATGTGATCTGATTCTGAAACCCATCTAGGCTGCTATGTAGTGCTGTTTAGGCAATATATTTAATATATCAGTGATTACAGTTGGGTGAAACTTGGGTTCTAATTCTATCTCTGTCATTAACCAGCCACATGATCTTGGGGGTAAATTCTCTGCATCTCAGGATTTTTCATTTTGTTTTTGTTTTGTTTTGTTTTCCTGAAAATGGGGAAGAAGCTACCACCCACCTAATAAAGTGAAATTCAAATGGAATAATGCATACAATGTGTTTAACATAACACCTAGAATGTAACTTGCCCTTAGTCAAGCTTAACTATTGTTTTCAACAAGTAGCAGTGATAGTGTGGAGTCCTTGAAAGTCAAGTAAAACATTCACACACATATACCCTATGGGACCATGCTAGAGGTGCTTGATAAGGAAAGCAAAAGAGAGAAATGGAGCTGATTCATCCCTGTGAACTCCCATACATCTTGGGCAGGGGTGGATGGATTGTGCCAACCATTCAAACTTAAGCTGGGAGTCATCATAAAATTTAGGCACTGTGGCACCAACTGCCATCTGTCCCCCAATATCTCTTCTTGTGTTACGGCTTGAATTCTATCCCCCACTAAAATTCATATGTTGAAGTCCTAAGCCCCGGTACCTCAAAGTGTGACCTTATTTGGAGATAGGGTCTTTAGAGAGGTAATCAAGTTCATGTGAGGGTATCAGAATGGGCCCTAGTCCAGTCTGACCCGTGTCCTGCTAAAAAGAGGAATTGGACACAGAAATACACACAGAGGAAAAGCGATGTACAAGACAGAGGTGCTGGCCTGGCTCTCCAAGGAGAGGAGCTGGAACAGACCGTTCTCTCACAGGAACCCATAGTGCCAACACCTGATTTCTGCTTTAAAAAAACAGATCTTGCCTGAACTCATCCTCCTCTTCCAACATCTTGCTGAAGGCAACTAATAACAACCAATATACAGTGATAATGATCTATTTTCCCACCCTATTGTCTAGAACTAGTCTCGGCATGGGATCTGCCTGCCAAATTGTCAAACACACTGAGTATCATGAATCCTAGCTTTCAGGCCTCTGCCAGCCTCTAACTACATATTTTAGGAAATGGTTCATACCAATTTTGGTATTGGTTGGAGTAGTTTAACTACTTTAATGATAAATCTAAAATACGTTCCCTTTGAATTGTGATAAACTATCCGTTTTCATTCTAGGGACATTTTTGGGGGGTAAAGAAAGAGCAAAGCATTCTTTTATCTCAACTGTGGAGGGGAAAAACTTTGTTTCTTTCACTCTCCTTTTCACCAGATGTCATACACCCTTATTATTGTGTCGAATAGACCCTTGACCAAGATTTAGGAAACACTTCTCCACAGAGAAATTCCACTCTGGGAATTTCTATTCTGCATCATTGTGGGTTGAGTTTTAGTAGTAAATTTTAAATGATAGCTTTCCTTTGTCCCTAAATTCTAGGCTCTCTACTTTTATCCATGAACTGACAACATTAGCTGCATTCATTATAATTTCTGATAAATGTTTGAGGAATCAGGAAAAGCTATGAATTCATTATTCAGAGTTTATGGCATCCTTTAATAAAAGAAATGGTCTGTGGCTTTTCACACCTATTCAGTCATTTCAAACCTGCCTTTCAGGTTACCTTATGACTTAAAGTTGACTAATTTGTTCACCTTAATTAGATATGTTACGTTACAGATGTGCTTAGTGATCTGCAATCTATGTAAAATCATTCTTGTTTATAAATTGTTGAGAGACAAGGACCTTCAAGTTTAAATGAGTTTTATTATTATCTTATAACCATACAGGAATTTTTAAAAAATCTTTATTGTTGAAAGTGTTATATATATATATCCTACAGGAAATATTTAAATGTTACATTGGCTTTGGTTCTATTGCATTGAAAGAAGTTCTGAATAGCTAATTTATAAAGATTTGGAAAGTATTGCGTTTGATCTTGTCTGTAAAAACAGTTTCTTAGAAAGTTAGTTGGATAAATCATTTCGTTCTGGTGAAAAAAATTAAGAAACTGAAGGGCTATGTCTTTTTTTCTGAACTGTCTAGTAATTAAGAAATGCTTTTAACACCCCTTTATTCCCTATTTTGTTTATCAAAACTATTTTATCTCAGGCCATCTGAGTTCTCCATTTAATAAATCTCTAAGACAGACATTTGAATTTT